TTCCTTTAGTCTCTTCTCAACTGAAGAGCCAAACAATCCCTCAGCAACACAAATTAGAATCTCTCTCTTCTCTTTGCTCAAGAGCACGAAATGTCTTTCCAATTCACTCCAAGCAAGAGCTAACACTGTCCTGCTGGGCTACTGGCTTGCACAGCCTACTTCCCTTGCCCAGTCTGTTTCTGTTCAGCTTTCTCTTCATTCATTCCCACTATAGTCACCCAACTCATAAGACTGAGCATTGGCTCCTCCCTCTGTCTGTGTTTCCTGCCCTCCAGACAGGGCCATGGCTCCTTCTGCCACTCCAGCATCTCCTTCACAACTTAGAGGGAAGGCTTCCCAGTGGAGTCATTTTGGCTCCTCTATTTAAGCAATTACCACCCTCCCTTGAGCCCTCTGTGCCCCTCTTCTCTGCTTTTCTCTGTGCTTGCTTGTTACCAGACACAGTGCACAGCATTTTATTTATTGTCCTTGTCCCAAGTGGTTCCCCTGGGGCTTAGGCAGAGATTTCATTTCTTTTGTTTGCTGGGAAATCCCCAAAGCTTCAAAAATATTTGTTCAGGCAGTGAATAAATTCCTCAAACTTTAATAATACCTGGCATTCAGAACACACTTGGGTGAGTGGTGCTTTGGGTGAATGGAGCAAAGCGCCTGTGTGCTGGAGAGACAGCCGCTGGTTTTGAGCAATGCCATGGTGAACTAATCCTAAGAGATTAGTGGAAACAGACATTTACACAGGTGACAGTGGGACCAAAGCTGCTGGGAAGACTTAGGTGGCCTTCCGGGCCTGCCACACAGCTTGCACTGTTTTATTTGGGGATTAGAGTAATAAGGATGGTCATCGAAGTTCAGAACTATTCAGGGACATTTGGTTACTTTAAAAATTGAAATTGTATTTTGAGAAGCAAGAAACATTTAAAAATTCTGGATATTAATACATCTTGTATTTTTGTATTTCATTCATGAAATATATTTAAGTATTTGAATTAGACAACTCTCTCCTAAGTGTAGGGAGAGGCTGAGTCCTGAGTGAATGTATAGTGTTGACATAAGCATGGCCATGTCAAGGATGCCAGTGCCTCAGACCCATGAGAATGGCAAAGCCTTCCTTCTCCTGGTCTGAGTACAGACATTGACAAACAGTTGATCTTTATCTAAAAGCAGTATGTGAAGAAGGTACCAGCAGATTTTTCATCTTGGAAGACTGAAGCCTGAGATCACTCTCCTAGAGAGAAGCCTGAGATCACTCTCCTTAAGAGCTCCCCTACCTACTGAGATTAGCTGACCCATCTCATCCTAGTTAGGGCTGTGTATTGTGTATAACAATGCGCTGAGTTTATGGGCTGTTGCTGGTACATCTCCATCTGAATTCACAGCCCCAGGTTTACATTACTTGTGTCTGTCATTTCTTCATTCTTCATCATCCCAGTCAGCTCAAGAACAAAGCCACATGGGCCATGACACCGAAGTAGCTTAAACAGGGCAGAGAAAATAAGCTCTTTAGCCCAGATACCTTTATCATAAACAGTCACCAGTTGAAACTGGAGGCTGAGGAAGGTGTGGACAGTGTCAGGTCATACCTTGTGCTTTGGCAGGGTGGAGTTGAAGCTTCTTGGTATCAAAAGGAACTTCTGAGCTCTGGTAAGCCTCAGCAGAAATAAGAGACAGTGTGTAAGTAGCACACCAGCAGACCAAGAAGGCAAGTGTAAGTAGTGAACAAATTACACTGTCTTACAGAGCAGGGAGTTAAAGGTTCATAATCTGTGAGGCTCCTGACCCCATGTGCCATAAAATTGCTATGTTTCATGGCAAACCACCCATACCACATGCATTTTTATATTCAGAAGACACCTAGAAGAAGATCCCAAGAGCAAGGCAGCAGAAGACTATGAAATCACCACGTTTCATCCAGAGAGACAAAGCACTAAATAAAGGGACTCCAAATGGTTGCTTTGGACTAGTTTTAAACTAGATCAGTCCTAAATTATTTTTCCCTTTGCTATTCAGCATTCAGGGACTCTAAGGACATCTGTCTTACATATCTCAAACTACCAATCTTCAGTGTTCACTTATCTGGTAAAAAAAAAGGGGGGGGGAGTATCGAAGAATGTGTATAGTTGGTTCTAAATTGAGGATTTATACAAATCTCTAATAAAAATATTTGGGAAACAATGACATCTGCATTGAACATGTGCAGATATTTTTTCTTGTCATTACTCTAAACAACATAGTATAAATAACCATTTGTATAACATTCCTAATATATTCCGTATTTCAAGTAATCTAGGAGTGACTTGAAGCACATGAGTGGTTGTATATAGGTTACATGAAAACATTCCATCATTTACATAAGGAACTAGAGCATCCATGGTCTTTAGATCCCTTATACATAATGAATCTGGTCCTATGGACAGTGGGGAACAAGTATGAATCACTGATTACATACACCACCACTGGGTCAAAGCAGAGCAGCCCTTACAAACTTCTTACCATTTTAGTATAGTGAAGAAAGAGAGGGCTTTCTGCCTCAGACAGATCTACATTTGGACTTGGCTCTTCTTCCTCCCTATGGGCATTTGGGTGAATTAACTCACTTCTTTGAGGCATGGCAGTCTGCAAATGGATTTAATGAATCCCAAAGGACTACTCTGAAATTAACTGGCATCTCAATGCAGAGTGCCCTGGGTAGGGCTTGTTACAGCACTAGAATATAGCAACAAATGCTCAAGCAAACATCAGTTTCTTTTCTCATACCAAGGAATATGACCACTGATCAACAAATGATAAACTGTTTCCCAAGTTGGCTTAGTGTTTGGTGGAATACCCAAACTAAAGTATTGCCATTTAAAGAAGACATATTAACTTTATTTTAATTTTAGTTGCATTTATAGCTTACATACAGGATGTCATTATGAATCTTCATCTGTAACTAGATAAGGCTAATGGTCCAAAACCAGTTGTATGGTTAGTGCTAATGATGAATCCTAAACCACAGGTTCTGTGTCTGGGAAGGGAACACTGGTCATTTGGCTCACGCACTTGATTCTGCATGTCTCTATCACATGGAGAGAGCATGAGGTAGTCCTTAAATTTGACCCTTCAAATGCATCTACTCTCCATGTTGTGGTTGGGGTATGACCAAAGGACAAGGGATTCTGAGTAGAATAGCCAAGTCCTTAGGGTCATTCAGATGCCCTGATGACTCAGCCAGGATGGGCTTGAAGGGTGACATCTACTTGAAGCTGTGCTGGGGGCATGTTCAAAGGGAGCCATTCTTTTCTAGAAGATATGATATATCTTGAATGACTGAATTGGGCAACAAGCATGTGAGAGAAATTCTGCCATATCTTGTTGATTGAGAAAGCAGGCCAACAAATCCCTTTTGTTTCAACTGGTCTAAGCAACTCAAAGAGAAAGAAAGGGCTATTGGATAGTTGAGAGAAACAGATTCAATATATTGTATATTAAACTTTTAAATTTATTTTTATTATTTTATATGTTTGGATGCTTTTTCCTGAATGTATGTCTGTGTGCCATGCATGTGCCTGGTGCCGATAGAGACCAGAAGAAAGTACTGGATTCCCTGGAACTGGAGTTATAGATGGTCTTAAGCTGCCACATGGGCACTGATAATCAAACCTGGTTTCTCTGGAAGAATAGCCAAGGCTCTTAACACTGAGCCATCTTTCTAGCCTCTAAATTGTATGTTTTTAATTACTTTTGCATTTTGTATTCTGTCTACTATAAAATTTGTCTACTATAAAAATATGATAATAAAATAATGGGCTTGCTTTCTTATGGGCTGTATTTTATATACTCTAAAAGGTGAACTGTGTGAGATAGGGCTGCTGTGAGTGAGGAAGGAAGCGAGGAGTGAATACCTCCATCCCATTCTGTTTCATTATGGAGAGAGCAAAACCAGAAATTGCATGATTTGGGGATCTGAGCTCAGTGGTTGAACACTTCAAGTAGAATATGCTTGGGTTTACTCAGCTTTTATTCCCACTTAGGTGTCCTGAGTTCTTCCTACTCATAGAGTTAATGTGCCTTGGTTTCCTTCTGTGCTGTGGCTGTCCATAGTGCTGCAGAGAGGATACACAGGAGATGATCCGTACTCCATCATCCCCTGCAGAGGATAATCTTATTCTCTTGGAGACATGAGTGGATGCTTTTAACCTCAGGGAATTTGTTGGGTGCAGAAGTACCTGTAGTCTGTTGGGAGGCCAGAACAAAAGAGATACAGAATTTGAAAGCATAGGACAGGACAGAAGGAACACACAGAAAGTTGTTAGTTTGTGCATGCTACAAGCACTACGTATGCATCACGTACTTCTGACTTGCTGTATTTATTTCTTGTGGCAAATAAATGAAAAATGAAGTCATAGGGTAGATGCTATGATTAAACAGGATAATATGCATAAAACTACTTAATACAATACATGTTACTGGTCAAGTGTTCAACAAAATCAGCTCCTATTGCCATGATTTAAATAGTATTAATTCCATATATTCTTGTTCCTTTTTTGAGAGTCCCTGTATCTGGGCTTCTGGCTAGTGGAAATCAGGATGCTGTGTCCTTTCAAGGTCACAGATAGGATAACAATACTTCCATATAAGATCCTTTCCTAACCCATCACTCAGGATCTTAACTGAGGGGCCCAATGAGGTCTCCAAGTTTTATCTGGTCTGTGTGTCCCCAGCTTTCAATTTCAAAGAGAATGTGATGATTTATTCATTTCCTTAGGGATCCAAATGCTAGCTGAATGCTACCATTGAGAAATGAGACTATTCCCTCCTCTTGAAGTGGAGTTGTGAGAACGGGGAGGGCCAGAGTGGTTCTTGAAAGGCTACCCAGTGGGGTAGAAGGGAGACATGGCCCTTACACTCTTGTCACATGAAGTCTGTGTAGAGCAAGTTCTGCAGTCAAGAGTGAGAAGGCGCAGGCTGGAGAGCTGATGCAAACTTTATATTTAGAAATGTGTTTTCCTGATTTTCTTCCTTAGCCAGAAGTGGACAGTATGCTAGTGAGCTGGCTGACTGCAAAGGAGGGGGACCACCTGAACCCTACGCTTCTCTCTGCAATCTACAGCAGTCAAAGGGTGCCACTCTGGACAGAAAATGGAGTGTCTCTCTGCTGTTTATTATTATTTCTTGAAAGTTTTGAACAACATGGCAAAAGATCTGACAAGAAGGTTTTGCTCCAGATGCACAGAATTTCCTAGAAGAAATAAGAGTGAAAACGCTTCCCGGCCATCTGTCCTGATCTCACACTGCACTTTCAGAATTTCTCTCTGGTTCTCATCCTGCAGAGGCACATCCTGACAGACTGCAGACAAGTCTCTCTGCAACTAAATCAAAAGGCAACAAGAGAATCACTCAAAATAGGGCTGGGCAGGACCGAGGACTGAAGGAGCAAGAACGAGATGCTAATTCTACCCAACCAACAGCTCAGGAGGTACAGAGAGAAAAAAAGAGGAAAAGTAAATGACCTACTAACAGTGTTTCATCTTGGTCTATTTTCAGAAGCTTGTAGAATTTAAAACAAGATGCTTTGAAAATACAGAATGTACTTTAATAAAAAATAGACTACTGGCTGGTTATCGTGTACCCATCTAGCACAATCCCTATTTTTCAGAGGCAAAAGGTTAACAGCACAGATGAACTAAACCCTCACATACCCAAAACAAAGATTTCATTTGCTCTTTAGCCTTATTTTCCCCCAACCCCTCCAACCACACTGTAAGGAAGGAAACCACGTCAATTTAAATTTTAGCACCTCTTCTTTCTGTATGTTTGAATTTCAGCATGTCTTCTTCCTGTATGTTTAATGAGTTCATGAATAACTATTAGCAACAAGGAAAGGGAGGATCACAGAGGTCTGGCAAATAGTGTCCATTGGTGGAGTAAAACATTCCAGAGAGAGAGAGGCAGAGAGACAGAGAGACAGAGAGACAGAGACAGAGACACAGAGAGACAGAGAGACAGACAGAGAGTTCTGAAAGGATCTACTAAGTGATTCAGAATTGACTAGTACCTTATCAAATGCACCACAAACCCTTTAGTGTGATAGTGGGGAATTCAGGGAATTCATGGAACATGCACAGAGACAGAAGCCACCAAGGGACAACTGCATTGATTCCTCATAGAAGACAATGAAAATCACCAGGAAGTGTTATTTCTTCCCAGATGATTTTCCTGTGCTGTCAGTGAGAGCCTGAGACACTTTGGGTTGATTTTTTCCCTTAAAATCTTACAGTAAATGACTCTGACCCTAACTCCCTTTGTTTTTTTCTACTGCTGTTCACTCTTTTCTAGGATAGAAAAACAGCAACCAATTCAGGAAAAGGTAACAAGGAGGAGAACGTGGTTAAGGAAGCTGGATGGCTTCTCCTCTCACACCTTCTTGCAGTTATTTTTATTTCACATCATCAGAGTTTGCAGAATGAATGTAGACTCTTCAGGATATTTTCAAAATAGACACTTTTTTTCTACCAACCATTACAATTCAACTATGAACCATTTCCCCCCTGGAAATCAATACACGTGTATTTCAGGTCCTTGTCCAAGGATGATGTTTGTTAAATAATCATACCAAGTTCCTTGCTGTATAGGCAGGTTCTGTCTCCTGATTTCAATAAAAAGGGTGCATGCTTTTCTTATTCCAAAAGATAGTTATTCTGCAATAGACAAAAGAAAATGATTTGTAATAGGGAAACAGAAAATCATTGTTTCTTCTGGGCTGGCACTTTGTCTAGAGTTTATCTTTAAAGGGTGAATTGGTGGTTTGTACCTTCCTGACTTTTTCCTTTGGCCTCACACATGTCATTCCTTTTCTGTAAAAAAAAAAAAAAGAATATGTTGTGACAAGCCACAAAAAGAATATAACTGATCCATGGCAAGAGTATTTTAGAACACCTCCCCTTGCCTCATTAGTTGTAAAGGCAAAGATAACTTCTGCTTTTAAAGATGAGAGTGAGGTCAAAGCATAGAGAAGTCTTTTTTACCCATTTGGAATAAAGGTAAGATATTCATTAGTAAGGGAACTTGAAAACATTCAATAAAGCATTGATTTCAATTTTTGGTGTTTTGTTGTATACTTTATAAATATGCTAGTGAAGGTCAATAAGATATCATCTTATCAAAAATATCATCCACAAGTTGGAGACGGTTGCCCAGGTTGACCTTGAGTTTTTGGTCCTCCTGCCCTCTTCCAAGGCTGCAACACCAGGCTTCATTTTTAATGAAAATATTCAGTTGTGGTTTTTTCCTTTTCAGAACCAGCTATTTACAGCTGAGGTTTCCCACCCACTATTATTTACAGCCTGATTCATAGATTTGAACTGGACTAGAGGACTTATTGTGTGCAAGACCCTTGACTCTCCTGTGTTTGCCCTCTATCTAGAAACTCACCCTTTACCAAGTATACAAAATAGAGCTGAGGTTCCTTCTCACTAGAGTATTGAATCAGGGTTCATGGTAAATAACAGCTCAAGTCATATTTTGTCTTCTTAGTAGTCCAAGCAAAATAAATGATTCCATAGATTTACCAGTTTGTATTAAATACTATAGAACATAAAATTACATTAGATAAGTCATTCGTATCATCTGCTGCCTAGGGTGATATAAATCTATTTTAAATGTTTCTGTGATTTAAATCAAAGGACTAGTGAAAAACTAAACCAAAGCATATCTAGAGAATTCAGTTTGATAACTCTTAGGCTTCACAACTTACATTGAGATCAAGATACAAGTTGGTATATCACTGTGTTGTAAGATGATTACATTAACTTGTGAAAGGAAGGCATACATGTGGGTGGGAGGGCGGGATGTGTCAGGGACACTAGCATCTCTGGTCTGGAATGAAACCACACAGAACACAGATGTGCTTCTCTAGCTTCATCCTGTTAACTTGACTTGGGTTTATTGTATCTTTTTTTTCTTTCTCTAGAACATTGTCTGAAATGGTGATTGCTCATTAATGTCTTAGATTTATGGATCTACTATATTCTAGAAAGCCTCTTTTCATGCTGAAATCCAAACATTGTCTAGATCTCTTCTTCCTGTTGTTGTTAGAAGAAGAAAATATGAGAGATACTTGTGGTCTTCATATATAACAATATCCACCAAATAATTGCATGAAAACTTATTTACCATGCATAGTTTTTTCTCTAGTAAGCCATCTCTTTGGGAATGAAAAGGCTGAGAAGTTTTCACAAGGAACACATGCTCTTTCTCATTCTTTGTTGTGTTTGTCTATTTGCTTTCTACCCAGCATCTGGGGGAATGATTATTACTTCCATTTTGTGTTTCTTCCTCCCCACTTTGACATCTTATTTCAGCTGTTTTCTACTTTCTAAACCCATAAAGCTTACAAATTCAATCTTCTCTGGTACTATTTGAGGTCACAAATTAAATACTTTGTCAACAACTCTCTACACTTAAAAATAGTAAAAGAGAATTAACAGACATCTGGAAGGGAGTTCTATACCTTGCCAAAAAAATCAGGCTTTTCTCAAAGTAACTCCAGATTCAGGGATGAAATTTTAATATAGAACCAGCCAAATGTATTTCCTTTACATGTCTTCAATATTGATAAGAGGGCTAAAGTTTCCTCCATTGTTTATTTGCATCTATGCATGGTTATGGACTCAGAGCCAGCACAAGGAGCCGTCTGCTTGCACACATCCAGAAGGCAAGCCTACTGTGCAGACATTGCAGCTGCTAGGATTTTCCTTTTATGATGATTTCTCATTCTTCATTACAGAGTCAGATTTTTAGACTTCTAGAAAGTTCTGTGACTGAATCACACAGCCACAGATGACAGGACATGTGTGTTCCTGCTCAGGACTGAATTGACCATCACACTGCCTGCTGGTGACCTTCCATGGCCATTAATTGCTTAGCATGAGGTGCTAAGGATGATGGGAAACTCCAGTGGAGAGCCACCTGCTTCTAGGTTAGAAGCTGAGCCATCAAGGCTTTGCAAGCCTTTTGGTGGAGAGCCTTTTATGGCTCTCAGGGTAGAAGATACATTCAGAGTGACCCTGAAAGTGAAGCAATTGGTAGAAGACAAGACAGAATCAATGGAAGCTGAAACATCACTGAAAGGGTTATTGAGCATTGGGAATATGTATTTTTATCTTAATGGTGTAGTAGCTGGCATGGAATAGATGCATAAACATTGCTGAGTGAATTATTGGATGAATTTAAATGAATAATATTTACCAGTCAACATAGCAACGTGCCTTCCTTATTGCACAGAGGTGATCTTTTGAGATAATCCATCCAGTTAACAAGCTCTACTGAGCACCCCTTTTGGCAGTTAGCACTTGATCTGTCATTACCAGATCATTTATACTCATTACCCTGATATGATTGGGCATAGAATGTAAGCTCCATGGAAACAGCAAGCTTGCCTCGCCTGTTGTTACTTCCTTTTCAGTACCTACAACACAGGAAGGGGCCTCAAAACACACACCAGCTTGACTCTCCTGAAAGATATATTGTCTGACTTGGAAATACCTCCAAATGATTTCTTGAGTAAAACTCCATTGATGTGGGAAGAGGTGGCTCTTTATTGGGGCTTGGGATCTCCTCCTGCCACCTGTCACTTATCCATGTGGCCAGATTTGGACTGACTCTATTCTAGGTCCCATGCTGAGCCTGCATTCTTCAGTTCATTCAATAAAAAATCATATACAAATTCCAGAGGATTTTTGAAAGTCAAGTTTTCACAATATAGAGCCTTCTATTTTTTTTGTTTTAATCATTTCTGTTCTTATTGTATTTCATCAGCTTCATAAAATGCTGGAGGTTAAAGGCACACCTTTTCTCTAGTAGAAAAATCCTTGACAAATGCCTTTGGCAAAACCATTTTCTCTGTGCTGCTGGGATAGGATGGTCTCATAAGCCTCCCAGGCCTCAGGCCAGAGAAGAATAACTTCTAGACTGAAGGCTGCTGGCAAGAATCTCCCCAGGTCCCTGGAATGCCCTTTATTTACATCTGTTCCCTGAGTCTTTATTTGGAAACATACTGTCTGTTACAGGGGAGAAAAACAAAGGGAGAGAGAAATATATTTAAAGAAAACTCCACTGTTTACACAGTGTTTTCATGATAATGTTTAAAAATCTTTGCCATTAAGGTGTGAAGTGTGTGTTATCTCAGCATGGAGACAAAGAAACTGAAATTTGAGTAAACAAGGGACTAACAAGGAATGAAACTGTTATTCCAAACAGCCTTCCAGATATGAACCCTGTGTGTCTTCAGCTCCCAAACTGTCAGGATCGAGCCTATTAAGTTTGATGGATTTTTATTTCTTAGTTACTTCCCTGTTAGTATTGTGGATTCTCAATTTTGCTCTTTCCTTTCTTTGTTTGTGTAGGTAAGTCAGTCATCCCCTAACTTTGAGCTAAGGGAGGTATGGAAAATGGAGATTAAGAATGGATCTTGGAGTTGCTGGACTGGGCTCAAGTCTTGATGTTACCATTTAGCCTCTGTTGGATACTGAACAATTTCTTGCTCTGTTGTCTTTATTTACATATGATGGAGGTAGTTATCGTGAGCTTCTTCAAGGGCCAGCACATAAGCATGCTTAATGAGTATTCAGTTAGCTGCTGCTATTGACCCATTTAGGACATTCCCTCTCTCTCCTTATCCCATGCCCCCACATTGCCTTTTGGTTATTCTAGAGTTTTCAAGCAAGCACTCAGAGAAAGGGGGAAAATGGAGTAGGTGAAGAAGCATGGAATAAATGGAGAAAAGTATCAGATGTGAAGAAACCCAACCATCTGAAAGCAAAGAAGAGGAATATTAAAAGAAACGTATAAATGCTGTTCTGGCTAGACTTGAGAAGAGAAAAATAGCTAAAAATGGCACTGCCTGTCCCAGCAGACATGTTCTGGCTCACTAGGACTTGTTCTGAATCCAGAACCAGTACAGGAATGTGGGCCCCAACTCAACAACTCTGAGGGAGGGAGAAGGGAAATATGAAACAAGCTGGCTTTAGAAGGGAGGAAATAGGATGGCAGGAAGTGTCTCTGTATAGATCTAAGTACCAGTTGGGATGTATTTATGCTTTAAGAAATTACTTTTTAAAAAAGAGACAAGTTTTATATATATATACATTCTTGCTAAGCAACAAGCCACCAAGGGCATGCTTTTAGTCAAGATGTCAGTTATTTAGCTCATTAGAATACTAAGTCAAACATTGGTGACAGTTCCATGCATACGTACTTTTGTCTGCCCAAGTGTGCCTTTCAGTGGACAACAAAGTTTGCAAAGCTTTTTTTGTTATTATTTATAATTTCTTTCACATTAGACATACGGTATAATGTCTTTTCAATAAATAAAGTGGTTGTTGCATTTGGGTAGAGCTGGAAGTGATAATAATTTGGGAGTGGGGCAATTCAATAGCTCAGATATCTACTTCTGATTGGTTAAGAAAAAGACTTCCTTGAATTTGTAAAGTAACGTTAGGTCACTCAAATAGTGTTTTTGTGCATCTGTTACATTTTTAGGCCCACTAGCTGTGGGGAAGTTACGGAGCAAAGTGAATACAGAACTTGACCCCTGGAAGAGACCCTTGGAGGCTATGCAAGTCAGCTTACCTGTGCAAAATCTCATGCTAAAATCTCTCTTCTAGTCACATGTGATGAACAATTTCTAGGACTTCCCTTCCCAGCCTCTGCAATGACAAAGGAATATTGATTAGCAATGAATGTTGATAGACAGACACAGAGGTGTTAATGGCAAAGAACAGTTATGTAAATTGCCTTCCTTTGGGTATTTTTACTCAGGAATATATCAAAGTATACACTGGAAATGTAAAGCTTTAACCCACACCATTGAGTATTTACTTATGGGACTTTATATAAAACTCCCATGGGTAAATTCATATTTTGATTGTTAAATATGAGAGCAAGCATTTATCAAGTGTTTACAAGTATCAAGAACTGCACCTTTTTTTTTTTTACACAAGGTCTCATATAGCTCAGACAGATCTTGAATTCCCTGTAGTATGTAGTGATGTATTGTGTCCCCAATATATTATACACCCTAATAAAGTTTATCTGAGG